CTCTGTTAAATGTAATCATTTGTTCCACAATAGATTACTCCAGATGGCAATGTTCTTTGCATTAAAGTAACACTGATCATATATTTCACAGATAGCTGGAAATAAGAGTGTTGGAGATATCATCAAAACGGAGTTGATATGTTATCAAGCACAGTTGTCCATGAGGAAAAAGCATATGTCTGATATCAACTTGAAAGTGGACAATGCAGACAAGCCAACTATGGATATGTTGCAAAAAGGAAATTTCTTCATTTTCTTAGTATGCTTTGAAATAATATCAAGGTATGTACAATCACAATTCTATAAATTATTTCATTTTGCTTATTGATTTAAACTGAGGGAAAGGAATTTAGTACTGGATATTTGTTTAGTGCAATAATAATGAAAAAGCTATAGAACTGTAATTTGCATAGATCGATAAAAGTTGGTTAATTTTCACAAATATTTTACAGTTTGCAAACCATTTCAAATGTCCTGAACAACTTGAGCATAATTGGGGCAAAGCCAAATATAAATGGACTGGTGCTGGCTGTCTCTCCTTCTCAGGAGATGTACAAAAGTGTTCTCACCCTAGAGGAATTTCACAACTTTATGGATGAGCATCAGCTTGTCCATTTCTGGTGGTCAAATTCAGTAAGTGGTTGGAAGTCTTAGTTACAAATGTGTGTGTGTAGGTTTAAATATATTGATAAAGATACTATTTGCCTATTTTCCCTGATGAGTAACAATTCTTTCTCTTATAAATCTGTTTTACTTTGTAACCTTTTCTTCTTTCAGGGAAGAGCACAGAAAAAGCAGGTTATAAAGAAGTTACTCAATCACATACATACAAGTGTGGGTTTCACCTCTGGAACTTCTTGCTTAATGAAGACTGTTGTATTAAGAGGAATCAAGGAGTATCAAGAACAAGAGGAAACTCTCGCATAGGTTTATATGCAACTAATACTGATTTTCTTTTGCTAGTGGCAAATTTTACATCATTTCCTCTCTCTCTCTCTCTCTCTCTCGTTAATCAAATATAAAATTCCCATTTACAATAGGAATAAAACTATTTTTCTAGACAAATAAAGATGTGTGTATATAGTATAGTGGTTTAAATAATTTATTTAACATCCTTAGTTGCAATCTACATTTAACCTTTGAAAAGACATAATACCACTTATTCTGGTTATTGCCTCAAAACCTTATCATACCTGTTGCCAGGGTTAAACTGAGAAAATTTAAGTTCTTAATCTCTGATAAGCATATACTTAAATTAAATTCATTAAATTAAAGTATTTAGCCATTTTTTTGTATATGCTTCTGCTGTCATTCTCTTTCAATTAATGCATAAATAGCTCTAATTGTGAAAAATAATGAAAAGAAAGGATAAATTCCCCAATGAAAGAGGTTTAACTGACCCACCCCCCATCCCCTGTCATGGAGGGGAGGGGGGCTGAGGAGAAGGAGATTTGGACCCAATTTAGGGGCTCATCCCTAACTTTCTTCTCCCCTTTTCCTTTCCTTTTCTTCATCCCTTTCTTCTGTCCACTTCCTAAGATGTGAGAGTAGTGCTAAAAGGATGAAAGGGTGGCTTTGTATGTCATGAACGGCTTCCGTGACCCATGGGCATGGCATTCCCTTGGTTGTCCAGCCCTTAACCTCATGTAGACCTTGAGGGGCAGACTGCTTCCTCTCCCCATTTATTTCAGGCTCACTATGGCCACTATGAGGGAGCATTAGGGCTTGTCCTTTCATCTACTAGCCTAGCTAAATTTTACTTCTTTGGTTTCCCAGCTCCAATCCCTACCGTGGCTCCCACTGATACTAATATCCCTCCTCGATGTTTACCATTCCAAATCATCCACCCAGGTCATTACTCAACTTTCAGAATGCACCCCATTCCTCTTTCCCACCATCTTCCACTCCATCTTCTACTGCACAGTCTTCTTCCTGAGGGCTTCACCCCTTATCACTAATGACCTTAGATATTGATGTGGCAGAAAATTTTCAACATAAAATAACCATTGCCATGAGCTCATCAAAGGGAGCTCATTTTTCTCCTATAGTAGCACATTATTTGTATGGTGTCACTTTTTCATGAAGGCAGTTAAAGTGAAGAGAGCCTTCAATCTTGTTAAAAAAAATCCAGCAACAATTTATGAAGTGCCTAATTTCATTTTTGCTGTACCAAACGTGCTAGCCATAAATGGAAAATTCCCAATGCATGCCAACAAGCACAATACTGGCCATAGCCAATTATTAATACAGCAATTGATGGGTTATGGCATTCTAGGCAAAGACCCTAGGCCTATCGTTACTACAGCACATGAAAAAAGTCAAGTGGCAAATGGTGGGTGTGTAAAATATTAAATGCAAGAATGGTTAATGGTTAAAAGCAAAATAAATGTGCTAGACATCTAGTACTGCAGCACTGCCTTGTGGGATGCCTTCGATTTGCGGAAAGAGGGATGATGTGGCAGAGGCAATTTTGACCTGGCAATTTTGACTTTATAAAGACACCCATGTTTCCATGTATGCCTAGAGAGGACAAATGTTAGAGAATATGGTACCGCCATGTAGTATCATATGCTTTTTCTGTGTCAAAGAATATAGCTAGTACGGATTCATGGCGTGCAAATGCGGATGTAATATGTCTCAAAATGAGCAATTGGGTCAGCTGTGTTTCGGGCATGGCAGAAACCAAACTTCATATGTGGTTGTAAATTATTAATAGGAAGGATAAGGAGGAAGATGGGAGTTGCCAGAGCATATGGTAGCGAATACTGTCTGGGCCTTCACGACTGTTCCGGCACGACTGTAAGGCAGCACTGAGTTCAGAGGAAGAAAAAGGAGCATTATAGGACTCAGCGGAGGATAGGATGAAGATAATGGGGGTACATTCCATGATGGTCTTAATAGAAGAGAAGTGTGGAGAAAGGTGAGAACCACTACTGACCTGGCTGAAATAGTCACCCAGTTCATTAGCGTAGGGAGTAAGAGAAAAACCATGTCAACGTGCTTCCTGTTTGGCTACACATAGAGTGAGTCCAAGTCTGAATCTGAGAGTTGTTACCTCAGACTCAAATTTGTGGGGCAGCCCCTATAAAATACATTGTGGGGGCCGCCACAGTTGGCACATGTGCGTGACTGTACAGAGCAGTTTGATCGAGTATGGCCAGGTTGGGCACATAGCGGGCATCTGGCTGTGGAACAGCAATGTTCGGCAGGATGTCCTAAACACCAACAATTTTGGCACGGACGAGGAGGAGGTTGATATGGTCAGACAGGGAGGGATTCTCCACAATGTAAACATTAAAGGGAAGGTCATGTCTACGGAAAGTAATTTTGGCAATGTTAGTGGGGTTCTTACAATGATCTCTGGGAGGAATGGAGAAGCACTGTACTGATATCGCATCATAGTCTGTGAGACAGGCGAGTAAGTCTTCTCCACAATCTGACCAATCTTTGTTAGAGATTGGGCAATTTGCTGGGGAGATAGAAACAGTTCCAGAGCAAGTATCAAGGGTTGGATGGGGTTCTACAGGGACAGGGTTACCGTATAGATCAATTAAATTTGATAATGCTATAGCTTGGTTTTCTGATGTTACTGTGACGAGCCAGGAGCGGTCGGGTCAGCTACAGAAAGAGACTTTGCCTACTTGTTTTTGGAGACATTGCTGGAAGAGAAGGGTGTTGTCTGAGTAGGGAGCTGTGGGATGTATCACGAAAAATCAGTCCCATTTGGCTGGGCTAAATAAGAGTATTTAAGATTTTTGTAGAGATGGGGGTAGTAGAAGGACAGGGGCATGTGGAAGAGGGAGTAGTGTTGAGGGAGGTAGTGTTATGGAGAGGTGAGCAATAAGGCTGTAAATTAGTAATTAAGGAAGAAGGGATAGTTGATGAAGAAGGTTGTGGGGGTAGAGGTGTTGAAGTTGAGAATGTTGGGAGAGTAGAAATGTCTCCTGGGGGCTGAGTGTTGACAAGGATGGATACTGTACTAGCAGGCATTGAGGAGGGGGTAGTAGTTATAGTGTTTGGAGCCGTGGTCAAAGGAGAGCCTGGGGTCAGGGAGAGTTTGAATTGGTGGGGCTATTTGATGAAGGGGCAAGCCTCATTGCCCCTAATAGTGGTATAACATCTTCATTATTGGCCATAATAAGCCTGGAGTATGTTGGGGAGAGAAACAGTCCACCCCTCTGGGTGCCCATGGCTCCCTCAGGCCATTCAGGACTGGCTCAAAGTCAGCCTTTCATCCTTTCAGCACGGCTCTCACACCTTAGTAAGTGGATAGTAGAAGGGGTTGGTGAAGGGACAGAGACGAAAAAGTAGGAGGGGAAAAAAGACCATGCAAAATTAGTTGAGTCGAGGGCTGAGTCCCAAGGTTGGGGAGTTCCCCATCATTGGGTCCCAGTCTCCACCTCCTAAGCCCCCTCACGACAACAGGCAAGGGATTGGGGGGTTAAATGCAAGAAAGAAAAAATGATAATAATTTTGAGTTGTTAATTGCCCCTACCCTATTTTCTAATCTCATGCTCCATTTTTTGCAAACAATATGAATTTCTTTTTTGTTTTACATTAAGTAAACATCCAAGAATTGCATGAACTATGGGGTTAACCCATTGGTCTGCATGCTACAAAATGTAAGTGGTCACTGTACAGTAGCCACTTACTTATAATTACTCTTTTGTTTGTTTTCTAGCAACTTCAATTATTACATATGAATTTAAATTACTTTGCTGTTTAGCAGGTTAGATTAAAGACAATTCCATGATAATAACAACTATCATAAACAATATTGGTAATGATAATAATAGTGATATCAGATAGGACTAGTAACTGACTCCTTTGTGATTAAGAACTTGTCGAGCCATTTACATATAAAAAAATAAATAAATAAATAACACAGAACCACAGTGGAGAGTGCATGTATGCAAGCATTCCAGGCATCAACTGATTAATCCTTTCAAAGCCTCAGTTCTCGCAGTATCATACGCTGTTAACATACTCCTATAATTTACCTCCAAGTCTTTGATGAGCCAATCATACTGACGAGAGAGAGGTTTGAGGCCATACTCCAGGAAATAATATGCCTCAGTGTTGACAGCAATAAAATGAACTGGGCCCATGTTCCAACTGAAGAAAAGGCTTTCCGTGTCCTCATGGTTGGGCATGCTGAATCTTGCTCTGTAGTTACTGAAGTTGCTATAGAAGAGACACAGATTTGTTGTGCAATGTATAGTATTGCCATACATATTTTAAGTTTCCATATTGTTTACCTAACTTTGCAATAGAGGCCTCTAGCCAGCTCAGCTGATAAACAAATGCTGACATATTATGAGTGCCAAAATCACAGGAAACGACTGAGCAACAACTTCCCTAGCCAGAAAAATGTATAACCTACTACTAGTTAATATAAGACAGGTTTTAAATGAAATCTATTGTTTTGGGATTTATTCAAGTGAAGTGATGCAGCATCAGTATCCTATGACAGGACTAAGGTAACATGAAAAAACACATGGTGGTTAATATCCTCTTTTTCTTTTTATCTTGTTCTCTCTCTCATTACCTTTCTCTTTTTTCACTCTTCCTCTTTCTTTTCTTTCTTCCTCTTTCTTTTTTGCCACCTCTTCTTTAATTTAGATCTGTCTCATTATACACACAAGTCAAAAACCAAGATGGAGGTAGTATCGCAATATCCAGCCTCTAGCATATCACCTAATATATAAAGTTTACATTTCACTTTCATTACTTAACCCATTTGCCTCAAATTTATTTTCTGTCTCCTGTTGTTTTTGGTGAATTTTGTTAAATACAGATGGCTCCACATGCTCAGCCAGCAAGGAATCTATCAGTAGGCCCTAGTTACCGATCCTGATTTTCCAATTCCTTGAATTGGTGGGAAAAAGTGTTTTTGTTATTAATACCATTGCTATCGATACTGTTATTATTGTTATTCATGTTATGATTATTAAATTGTCATTAAAATATTTTAAATAATGAAATGAAACAAAAGACCTTTTCTTAAAGTGAAAGAAAAGGGTAAACACTAGGTAGTTCTAATAACTGGCTATTTGGTCATTAAGAACTTGTAGAGCCATCTATGTGTAAATACAATAAATAAATGTGTATTACAGTGGGCATGGCATGTATTCTTGCCACATGGGGGAAATGGGTTAAGTGACATGACCATTCAAAACAATCAAAGTCAGACAAATATGAAAAAAAGAAATACAAGAGAAAAACTTACTACATCTGTTCGTGGTTACCAGGGCAAGTTAGATAAGGCACATATGCAGCAATGGGTTGAATCTGTCGCATGAATTCGTCTCCGACACGAGCATTGTCCTTTTGGGAGAATGAACAGGTGGTGGTGTTAAGACAACAGGCTTTCAAATCTAATACCACATAACCTGACAAAGATTTGCAAGAGCTTTAAGCAAACATACTCACATTCAATTAAAATATAATTTGCATGCATAACATATTCAGCATCCTTACACACCAAGTCAACAAATTTCCTTTAATTAAGAGGGTAAATTTTTACAGATAGATATCTTACCGAGTCCATGTTGTATGCAAAGTCTCCCACGTGAATCACAGCATCATACATTCCTCTCTGCACCTCTTCCTGTAACCTGAAAACAATACATTTTAAAAAGAATCGGCAAAGAAAAATACATTTGAAAGTTTAACAAAATACTGATAATAATAAAAGAAAAAGAAAATGGAAAATTAAATAAATAATAATAATGATAATTATTATGTGATAACGTAATAACAATAACAATAACCATAAACAAAATAATCATGATAAAAAAATATATAACTCATGATAATAATGATAAGTATATAATATATATACTAAAATAAAATGATGGTACAGCATAGGTTAGCACACAGTGAGACCTAAATATATTCTTCCTAATGTTAGGCTGATTGATAATTCTTAGTACTTAAGAGTCAAAAGTGTCACAGTTGATAATTAAAAAATAAGGAGGTCCTTCACAAAGCAAAAAGGCCATGAAATTTAACAACTACAGGTGTCTAACAAAAATACAAAAAAAGACTATATGATTAATTAATTACCAATTCACAGAAGAAGTTCTATTTTAAATACACATACACAATAGCATACCTTGGCAGAGACTGAGCATTGACTGCTCCCATGTCCCCATACATAGCCACGGACACAGGCCAGTCAGTCCCATTCTTCCAGGTCTTGAAAACAAACAGTTCTGACCAACCAAGCTGACTCCCACAGTGGTAGACTGTCAGGGAAGAAAAACATTATTGATACTTTACTTTAACATGGATCAATTTAATTTTTTTTAAATATGAAGGAAAAAGATTAACTCTGGAAAGCTAGTAACTGACACATTTCTACTTTATATCATCCCATTTGAAACATATGAAGAGGTGCACCATAATTTTACTGATGCAGCATATGAAAAATAGAAATGACCATGTCAATACTTTACTGATTCTACTTTGTTTCTAACAGCTTTCTAATGAATGTTT